TGGTGCTGGGGGATTGAACCGCGGTCCCTGTGCTTTGCTAAGCTTGTTCTAAGTAGGTGCTTTAGACCACTGAGCCATCTCACCAGCCCCTCAGGTATCATTTTATTAAAGGTTTCTCTATTCTTTTTTTTTTTATTTTTGGTGGAACCGGGGATTGAACTCAGGCTCTTGCACTTGCCAGGAAAGCGTTTATTCCACTGAGCCATCTTCCCAGCCCCTTCTTTATTCTTAATAGTTTTACTATGTAAATAATATTCTTCATACTGTTGGGAACAAAGAATAAGAGTATTTGGTCTAATATGAAGATAAAGATAAACTGAAGACACCAATATAATATATGGTTTGTCTATATGTTTTTTTGTTTGCTTTATATTTACTGATTTAGTTGTAGAAGTTGTATGGCTACCCTGGGTTCACTGGCACTGACACCTGTGATCCCAGCACATCAGAGGCTGAGGCAGGAGGATTGCCGTAAGTTCAAAACCCACCTGGGCTACACAGTGAGATCAGGGCCAGCCTAGACTATATACCACAGTGAGACACTGTCAGACAAACACAAAAAGAAGTGTTGGAGCCAGCCAGATAGCTCAGTGAATTAAAGTGCCTGCGTAGGCAGATGCAGTGGTCGGGGTTCACTCCCTGGCCTGCCATGCCAGCCCCACCTCCAGGGCACACTGAGACAGTGATTGAGACTGGGCGTGGTGGTACACGCCAATAATCCCAGAGCTTGGGAGGCTGAAAAACAGGAGGATCACTACGAGTTCGATCTGTGCAGTGAGACCTTATAGACCCTGTACTGAATACATTAAAAAAAGAAGTGATGTAGCCTGTTTGAAAACTCTCTTGTACTAAATGAAAGTTATTTCATGAGAATCATTTTTCTTTACAAGTCTGTTAAGATGTAATTACATAAAGTATGTTTGCTCAGTTAACATACATGATGCTTTTTCATATATTCATAGATTAGTGAATACTATCATTACAGTCTAACTTTAAAAAGTTTGTCATCCCAAAAAAGAAATCCTTACCTACAAGCAGTAATTCTTCATTCCCTGCTACCTTCCTTCTTCCCTCATTCCTTGAGGCAGTCTCCCTCCACCTGCGCTGGTAGTATTATTAGCAAATGAACCCGGGACCTGAAATACGCTAATAAGCACTCTGTCATTGAACCGTATTCCTGGTCTCTTAATGTATTTTTTATTTTTTGTACTGGAAAAAAACTCAGGACTCACACTTGCCAGGCAAGCACTGCACTGCTAAGCTATATCCCCAGCCCCTAATGTACTTTCTATCAATAGATTTGCCTGGTCTGGACATTTCTCCTACAGGAGATAGACTATGTGGTCTTTCATGACTAGCTTCTTGCCCATAACATACTGACAAATGGATCTATATTGTTCTATGTGTTTCTTTTCTGTCCTGAATGATACTTGGTAGTTTAGATACATTACATTTTATTTATTGACGTACTGTTCCCGCAAGCAGAAATACCAAAACAATACCCAGGATTTGGAAGCAGACTTCCTTATGTTGGTGGGCACTGACTGGGATCATTCCCAGAGTATCAGGCCCTGATCTCTGGCGGTCTGGAACGTATATGAGATAAGCAGGAAGTACAGAAGCAGGTGGCTGTGTACTGAGGGGCATTTTCTCCTATATTTCTTTCAGCTTTCCTGGCAGACCTTTGCTGGCCGTATTACATGGGATCTTTTGAGACGAGGCCCAGCTAGAGGCAGTAACATGCGGGCTGTTGGTGATGTTAGGGTAGGACCGAGCCAGAGTCCCCAAGACTAAACGTTTTTCACCAAGAGTTTGTGGTTTGTTTCCCTTATTAGAGGGTTTTCCCCCTAAGTTGACTTTGACGAGGGAGTGAAGGAGTTAATCTGATCTAGGAAAGGGTCCAGTGTGCCTTGGACACTCATTAAATCTTGGTCAGTTATTTGATAGATTATTTTGTTCTCTTGGGGCAACCATCCATAGAGTTTAAGGCAGAAAAAAAGAGCTAGGAGGGGGCAAGAAAGCAAGGCCTGGAGTAAGCAGCCTGAAAAGACACAAAAATCAAGGGGAATAGGTATGGAACAATCCTGTGGACTGGGTCCTTAAGCTTCTGCTGTGTGTCGGCTTGTTGGCATCCAGCATGACCGTAGCAACTTCGGGTGGGTTTTACAGCCTGTGTGCTATACGTGATTTTCTTTAAATCTAGTTTTTTAGTTATTTCTGCTACTAAGGCAAGTACAGTATCATAGCCAATGATCAAGGGTAGGCCGTATCTAGGAGTGATTTCTTACAGTAGGACCCTACAGACTTCTGTTGTCTTCTTGGTATGGGTAGGG